ATGTGATAGGTATTGAATTGATTTAACTAAAAATAAATTTAATATTAGATTCCTCACGGCTCTTGTAACTTTTTTTTTTTTTAAACAAATTATAAATAGAAGAAGATAAGAAAATCAAATCTTTTTGAACAGAGGGAAATGGGAGGGGAGAAAGAAGGAAGCTGCATATTATAATTTTAAATTATAATTGAAATCACGAATTTAAGTGTATTTGATCAAAGTAATCAAAGCTACGTGTGCGATAAGGAAATCAAATCTAACCCAAGGGATTGAAGTGTACTTATCAACAATGACAAAATCACGAGCTCAGTCGGGAAGGTTAAAGTGTAACTCTCATAACCAATTTGGATTTTTTATGATAAGTATTGATTTGATTTAATAAAATTGACCTCTTGCTTTTCTCCTACCGTTGCTGTTTTTCGACGAGAGGAAAGGACGCGAGCTTTGTCTTCATTCCTGGCTTTCAAAGCCACTAGGCCGACAAGGTCAAGTGTAACTCTTATAACCTATTTGGATTTTTCATAATAGGTATCGATTTGAATGGATAAAATTGACCCCTCGATTTTTCTCCCACCGTTGCTGTTTCTTTTTCCACAAGAGGAAAGGATGAGGGCTTTGTCTTCATTCCTGGCTTTCAAAATCACTGTTGAGAAGATCAAATGTAACTTTCATAATTTATTTGAATTTTTTATGATAAATATTGATTTGAATTGATAAAATTGACCCCTTACTTTTCTCCGATCGTCGTTGTTTTTTTCCACAAGAGGAAACGACGCGAGCTTTGTCTTCATTCCTGGCTTTCTAAAGTGTGAAAGCCCCATTGCCTATCTTCAAAATAAATAAATAAATAAAAAGTGTGGGAGCCATGGAACGGAGCAGGTTTGAAAAACAGGGCATAGATGTGTAAAGAAGGTCCTGGATCTTCTGGACGCATAGCTGAAAAAATGGTCTTGAATCTCCTCTAGACGTGATCGATGCTCATCTTCTTTAATGACGTATGCCTTCAGTCTTATGGCTTTGAATTAAAATTTCAATAGATAAGGAGAGCATTTAATAGATTAAATCAATCAAGAAGAAACAAATTAAAAATCAAAGCGGAAAGAATGATGATAAAAAAAATAGCCGACTTGGTCTTTCGATTTTTATTTTTGAATTAAACTTATTTTTAAACATAAAAAAATATTAAAAATATTTTTCAATTTTAATTTCCAGTATCCATTTGATCTTTCCATCAAGTGAAGTGACGCATGACAGGATAAAATGTCAGAAAATTACTCACTTTTTTTTTTGAATATTTAATGACACGTTAAAAACAAAGTCTTTGTTTTGATGACATGACATTTTTTTGAACTTCCACGTCATATTTTTTTTATATTTTACAACCGAACTTAATTTATTTAATTAATCAATACAGCACTTAATCATTTTAATTAATTAATACATTAAAAATATAAAATTACCTAAATACCCCGCTTTCACCTCTAACTCCTTTCTCCTCTCTCAACCAATGTTTTGAAAACCGACCCGGAGGTCAAATCGTTTTGACCTCTGGTTCTTGGTTTGATTAATTTAACCGATTTAACCATTCAAACGTCGGTTTAACCGCATATGAATAAATATAATATGGTGTGATGATTTAATAAAGCGAGTGTAGTGGCTGGACTGGTTTGTCACTTCATCTATCACAATGGAATACGAACCTGGTGGGTGTATGGAAATACGTGTTCGAACCTGGTGGGTGTCAAAATGTTATTATCACATTTCTAAACCTTTCAAGTAACTTTATTTTTTAATTAATTTATATAAAAAATTATAAAGATTAATTTTAAATTAATTAATTAACCAATTAAAATCATCTATATAAATATCAATTTTTATAATTTTTTATATAAATTAA